AGCCTATAGGAAAGAGAATTTTCTGAGTGATTGTAGCATAACGATATTAGTTGAGCTCAGACACCTCATTTAATGTTTTCAAAATCACGTAAGTGTTCAATTCTCAAGTCCAAAACGATGAATTTGAATGCCCTTTGACTTTCTTCCTATTTCTCTTTATTTTCTCTAACTCTCGGCTCTCAATAAGAATGTTTCTGTCTAACTTTCTCCGGCCTTCTCTATTTTGTTCTACGAACTAATTAGCTTAGGCCACTAATTATTTCATTAGCTTAAGTGGCCATGTTTGACTCTAGTATCCACTTAAGCACCCTATTTAGTTTCTCCATTAATCCGGCTCATCAACGCCTGTCAGCGGCAACAAGATGCTCTATCTTGTTCTAGGAACTAATTAGCTTAGGCCACTAATCGTTTGATTAGCTTAAATGGCCAAGTTTAGCTCAAACTAACCTAACTTAGCCCCTAAAAAAGAGAATTTTAAGAGCAATTGCAGGTTAACGATATTAGTTTAACTTAAGAACCTTGTTTAAGGATTTCTAAATCACCTAAGTGTTCAATTCTCAATTCCAAAAGGAAGAATTTGAAATCCCTTTGATTTTCTTCCTATTTCTCTTTCTTTTCTCCAACTTCTCATCTACCTGTCAAGAAGAATGTTTCTCCAAAACTTTCTCCATCCTTCTCGATTTTGTCCGACGAACTAATTAGCTTTGGCCAATAATTTTTTGGACGTGAGAATTGAACACTAAGGTGATTTAGAAAATATTTAATGGGTTGCTTAAGTTAAACTAACATGATTACGCTATAGTTACATAGAAAATTCCCTTTCTTACATGCTAGGCAAGATTAGTTTGAGTTATACTCGGCCAATTATTAAGCTTACGAGACAATTAGTTACCTAAGCTAATTAGTTTCTAGAAAAAAAAGAAAGAAGGACAGAGAAAGTTACAGTGAAACTTTGTTCTTGAGAGCTAGAAGGGAGAGTTAGAGAAAGGAGAGAGAAATAGGAAAAAAAAACAAAGGAAATTCAACTTCATCATTTTTCACTGGAGAATTGAACACTTAGATTTAGAAAACCGTAAATATCGTTAAGCTAAAATTACAAATAAAATTCTCTTTCTTAGAGGCTAAGCAAAGTTAGTCTGAGTTAAACTTGGCCACTTAAGCTTATGAAACAATTAGTTAGCCAAGCTGATTAGTTTCTAGAACAAAAGAGAGAAGGACGGAGAAAGTTGCAGAGAAACTTTCTTCTTGAGAGCTAGAAGAGAAAGTCAGGGAAATGGAAGAGAAAGAGGAAGAAAATCAAAAGAAATTCAAATTCATCCTTTTGGACTTAGAAAACCTTAAATGAGGTGCGTAGATTAAACTAATATCGTTAAACTAGAATTACTCAGAAAAATCTCTTTATTAGAGGCCAAGCAAGATTAGTTTGAGTTAAACTTGGCCACTTAAGCTTATGAAACAATTAGTTGCCTAAGGAAATTAGTTCCTGGAACAAAAGAAAGAAGGAAGGTGAAGGATAGAGAAACTTCCATATAAACTATCCTCTTCAGAGAAGGAAGGTGAAGGACAGAGAAACTTCCATATAAACTATCCTCTTCAGAGAAGGAAGGTGAAGGACAGAGAAACTTCCAGACAAACTATCTTCTTGAGAGATAGAAGAGAAAGTCATAGAAAAGAAAGAGAAATAAGAAGAAAATCGAAGGGAGTTCAAATTCACACTTTCGGTCTTGAGAATTGAACAGTTAGGTGAGTCAAAACCTTAAATGAGGTGCTTAACTAATACTGCGAAGCTAGAATTACTCGGAAAATTCTCTTTCTTAGAGGCAAAGCAAGGTTAGTTTGAGTTCAACTTTCCCAGTTAAGGTTATGAAAACAATTGGTTGTCTGAGTTAATTAGTTTCTAGAACAAAGGAGAGAACGAAGGAGAAGGGCAGAGAAAGTAACAGAGAAACTTTCGTCTTGAGAGCTAGAAGAGAAAGTCAGAGAAAAGAAAGAGAAACAGGAAGACAATAAAAGGGAATTCAAATTCAACCTTTTGGGCTTGCACTTAGGTGATTTAGAAAACCTTAAATGAGGTGCTTAAGTTAAACCGATATCGTTAAGCTACAATTACTCAGAAAATTCTATTTCTCTGAGGCTATGCAAGATTAGTTCGAGTCAGACTTGGCGGCTTAAGTTTATGACTAAGTTTGGCTTTGTCTCTTATTATGTATGGTTACATTAGTTTAGTTTTTGGTCTTTTCTTTAATTTGTCTAGCTAGCTTATGGTTTGGTTGTTAGTTTTCGGGGCAATCCAGGACTTGCTTAGTTTTTGTTTTCTTTTGGTTATATTGTATAGTGTTTTGGTTAGGGCCTGGGGTATGCCCCTTGTCTTGGTGTAAGTTTTTTGTCTTTTATTTTATGACTTATCCACCCAAAAAAAACCTAAGTTTATGACTAAGCTAATTAGTTTCTAGAATAAAAGAGAGAAGGAATTAGAAGGACGTAGAAAGTTACAGAGAAACTTTCTTAGAGGCTAAGCAAGATTAGTTTGCGTTAAACTTGGCCACTTAAGCTTATGAAACAATTAGTCACCAAACCTAATTAGTTCGTAGAACGAAAGAAAGAAGGTAGGAGAAGGACGGAGAAAGTTGCAGAGAAATATCTTTTTTTTGGGTAAGTAAGTCATAAAATAAAGACAGTAAAATGTACAAGTTTACAAGGGGCATACCCCAGGTACGCCCTACAACAAATAATAGACAAACGAATACAACACAAAACTACCACTGGACATCCTACAACATAAACATAAATATAAAAAAGAACCCCACTTTGCCCATATATCCTTTTTGTCCCCAAGTAACCCTTATCATCAAAGATAATAGATGGAAACTTGGGGTGGATATATGGGTAAATAAACAAACACACCATAGACGTATAAAGCATAACAGAAAACACACAATACAAATGTAACTAACTAAAAACCCAACAAGACCAATCGAAAAATGATAGCCGCCCCCGCTTGCTCCCAGTCTCTACCTCGGATGAAAGCATGGAATCCAATAAGCATCTCGCTTCTCATAGCCGTGACATCCTAGCCACTCAACCAAAGCCATGACGAAGGAAAATATCTATCCCATGAAAGATCCTAGCTGAGTCACATGAAGCCTGCATAGTCAATCACCATAATCCACGGTCTTGAGAAGTTTAGTGGAAAAACAATAGCCCCGCTACAACAAACCAATACATAGCCAATCAAAACATGAGAGCAATCATCACATCCCCCAGTCCCTTCCTTGCTAGATCACAAGCCTCAAACCCCACGGCAGTGTCCCCATCACTCCATGTCAGGCGTGGCAATACAATCAATTAGGATGGGTCACACGAAGACAAGAAGCGACCAGAAAACCGGTAGCTATCCTCCCGCTCATCTCCCAGTCTCTAACTCGGCTAGTTATCGAACCACTATTCCCCATAGCAGTGACTCCCCAATCACTCTTGGCGGAGATGGCTCGAAACCACCCTCGTATCGAGTCACATGAGGATCACACGATCAATCATCATGAAATAACCGACTACAAAAGGTCCCCTGGATTGTGGCTAAACAAAAATACATGGGCTGAAAAGTGCGCCGAAAACTGCGGCAAGCACCAACACAAAACACGCTTGCTCAAAATTGTGAACCCGTGGGTCAAACAAGGGGCCCACAAAAACATACCCACGGATTGGGCCTTAACAAATCCACCAACAAACCCAATAAACCAAATAAATAATAAAACCCACTATGAGCCACCAACCAGTTTGTTTATAACATGCAACCATATATAATAAAAAACCGTAGGTGGGACCCAATGTTGCTAATTTGCACGTGATGGCAAAAACCCGTGGACCAAAACCAGCAGAATAAACACCCACTGATGAAGCCCAAAACACATATTAAACCAAACAAGTGGAGCCCACTTACCTAGTTGAAGTCAATTCAAACCAAACTGAAGTCCATAAAGACAAACCACGTGCCTGCATGAAGCTCAGCAATATGAAAATAATATTTCGGTCAAAACCACAAACCAGCCCCCTGTTTTTATTTTGAAACCGGCTCCAATTTCAAGCGGGAAAACTGGGGGCAAGTAAACTGATGTAACGTCAAATAGTACACCTATACGCCATAGCCGACGTACACTCCACTCGCCTCTGTCACGGCTATCATTATCTACAACCGGCGCCTGAGAAACGCCGGAGAAGAAGCACAGTAACACAGCCGAAAGTAAACCAGAACAACCCAGCAGCAACAAGCAGAATGATCGGAGAGCCAGCAACACAAAGAACGAGCGGCTGCGGCAAACCAGCACCGTCGAAATGCCAAAAAAACCTGGCAACTGACCTCCGGCGTAGCATCACTGTGAAACCCATACAACGACGGACCTGACGGACATGTCGTACCGACGGCCATCTATCTTCTGAACCATCGCCAGAGGAAAACCAGTACCCAGAACCATGCAACACACGACGTTATCAGCAACGACCACCACCACGGAAGCCATGAACTTACCGGGAAGCCAACCATACCGACACCGCTGAAACAAATTTCACCCGCTAGCCAAACACGTGCCATGCCAAGCATGGCAGCCAACCCGCAGAACCCCACCAGAAGACCCACTAAGCATCCAAAGCTACTGAACCCGAGTTTACTGAACAAACAGCAATAGCGCCACCCACACCGAAGCTCCACTCAGATTTCACAGCCATTTACGTCAACCTACATTCCTAGAACTAGGGAGAGAGGTTCTCCCTCATCCTTACCCAGTTCCAACCTCAGAAGCACTGCCGGAATGACCCAAACATCACACCATGAAACGGAGCCACAAACCAGTGCACAAATCGGTTGGACCATCGCTGCCAATCTGCAAGACCAACATTGACCACCATTACATGCGATTCTCTCTCTCCTACGAAACCACAGTTCGTACCAGAGAAGTAGAGAACCATGGACCCAACACTTGGACATTGGACCATGATCCCAACACATGGCCATGGGTCACCCGAGCAAACACACAACACCTAGGGTGGATTACATTGCCACTAAGATTGATAGAGTTTTGGTCAATGAGTCTTGGATTGACCAATTCCCTGTCTCTAATGCTATGTTTCTCCCTTCTAGTATCTCCGATCACTCGCCAGTTGTTGTCAGTGTCTCTGGTAAGGCCCAATCCTTTAAAAAACCCTTTAAATACTTTGATTTCTGGACTGAGCATAAGGATTTTCTTCCCAAAGTGGCTCAGGACTGGAATCAGTATATTAGAGGCGTCCCTATGTTTAGAATCTGTCAGAAACTCCGCAGCCTTAAACCTATACTTAAATCCTTAAATAAGAAAGAGTTTAGTGACATTTCAACTAGAGTTTTGGCCTCTAAAGCTGAGCTTGATTCCATCCAATGGAAACTTGACAAAGATCCTTGCAATAGCTCTTTTCAGCTCCTTGAGAGGAATTTGTTTAAAAAATATGTGGATCTTAGTGCTGTTGAGGAGAAATTGGCTCATCAAAAATCTAGAGTCCAATGGCTTGGTCTGGGTGATAAGAATAGCAGGTTCTTCTTTAGGTCTGTGAAGAGTAACATCAATAGAGGGAAAATTCTCAATGTTGAGATGGAGGATGGGAGGGTTTCAACTAATCCTGAGGAAACCCAAGGGGCTTTTATTGATTATTTTTCTAAACTTTTTGGCACTCCTTCACAGAACAATCATAGAGGCACTACGAGAGTTCATGATCTGATTAAAGTTAGGGTCACTCACGACCAAGCTATTAAGATGGCCAGTCCTGTTTCTGACAAGGAAATCAAGGATGTTTTTTGGTCCTTGAAAACCAATAAGGCCCCTGGCCCTGATGGTTATTCAGCTGGTTTCTTTAAAAGCACTTGGAGTATTGTTGGTAAAGATATAACCCAGGCCATAAGAGCCTTCTTTGAATCTGGGAAACTTCTGTCTGAAATCAACAACACTACAATTGTGCTCATTCCAAAAGTTCCTAATCCGGTAAAAGTTGGTGACTATAGGCCAATCTCCTGCTGTAATACAATTTACAAATGTATTGCTAAAATAATTGCCAACAGAATTAAAGGGGTTCTTCCTAACCTCATTGATCCTGTTCAATCTGCCTTCGTGCAAGGTAGGAGAATTTCGGATAATATCTTCTTATCTCAGGAAATCATGAGAGGCTATCATAGGAACTCCCCTGTTCCTAAATGTACCATGAAAGTTGATATAATGAAAGCCTATGACACTGTCAAATGGGAGTTTATCATTGACATTCTTACTGCTATGGGCTTTCCTCAAACTATGATCACCTGGATCAAAGCTTGCATAACTAGTCCATCCTTTTCCATATGTATTAATGGTAGCCTTCATGGCTATTTCAAAGGGGCTAGAGGCCTAAGGCAAGGAGATCCTCTGTCTCCTTATCTGTTCGTCTTAGCTATGGAGATTTTGGCTAGAATTATGGAGGAAAAGTCTAAGAATCCTCTATTCAAATTTCATTGGAGATGTGAGAAAACCAAAATTGTTAACCTTTGCTTTGCTGATGACCTTATGATTTTTAGTAAGGGTGATACTAACACTGTTCGTTTGATTATGGAAGGATTGAATGAGTTTAGTGCTCTTTCTGGCCTCACCCCGAATCCTAGCAAGAGTAATATCTATTTCTCTGGCTGCTCTGAGGAGTTAAGGGCCAGTATCCTTCATATTGCTACTTTCTCTGAGGGTATGCTCCCCGTCAAATACCTTGGAGTGCCTCTCATTACCACTAAGTTGAAAGCCACTGACTGTAAACTTCTGGTTGAGAGGATCACTAAGAGGATTAGTAGCTGGACCAATAAACTTTTATCTTATGCGGGTAGGGCCCAGCTCATCCAAACCATCTTATTCTCTATGCAAGTTTATTGGTCATCTCTATTCATCTTACCTAAGAAAGTTATTAAGGAGATTGAGAGCCTCCTTAGAGCTTTCCTATGGTCTGGTACTGATCTTAGAAAGCATAGTGCGAAGATTGCTTGGGATAAAGTCTGTGTCCCTAAGAAAGAGGGTGGCCTGGGGTTCAAATCTATGGAGGTTTGGAACAAGGCTGCCATTGCTAAACATGTATGGTTTTTGTTCTCTGGAGGGGAAAAGTCTATGTGGTGCCAGTGGGTCAAAATCTATCTCATAAAGGGTAAATGCTTCTGGAAAATTAAAACTCCTAATGACCCTTCTTGGGTTTGGAGGAAAATCCTTTCTCTCAGGCCAGCAATTCACCCTCTTATTAAACATAGGATTGGTGATGGCCAGAACACCTTCTTGTGGTATGACAATTGGCACCACCTTGGCCCTATCTGGGAAAGATATGGTGACAGAATCATGTATGACTCTGGCTTAAATGGGGAGTCCAAAGTCAGTAAAATTATAGTTGGGAACTCTTGGCATTGGCCTTTTCCCAACTCCTGGGATCCCAGGGAATTAACTTCCCAAATCCCCAACAATTGCCCTCCTAACCCCTTGGAGAGGGATACTACTATCTGGGCTCTCAACCCTGATGGTGCCTTCACAATTAAGTCTGCTTGGGATCTGTGGAGATACAAGCAGGATTCGGTGCCTTGGTATAAACTTGTCTGGGGCCATGCTACTATCCCCAAAGTTAGCTTCATTGTTTGGCTGGCTATCTATGGCAGGCTGAATACTAGTGATAGACTCCAATTATTTGGAATCCCTTCTAGTCCTACATGCCCATTTTGTCTTGATTTAACTGAAAGCCATCCACACCTCTTCTTCGAGTGTAGTTTCACATCCACAATTTGGCATGTCATGCAAGGTAAGTGTAATGTGCAATGGCAGCAGGTCTCTTGGCCTGAGACTGTTATTATTGTCGACAGAGAGAGCAAAGGTAATTCCATGAAATCCATCATCACTAGACTTTCTTTTCTCACAACTGTATATCATATTTGGATTGAAAGAAACAATAGAGTTTTTAACAAAGAATATAAACCTGTAGAGGTTATCATCAAATCTATTGTACTTATGGTAAGAAATAGAATGTTATCTGTTAGCAACATTCCTATTGCAACAGGTGATGATTGGTTCCTTGATCAATGGAACCTCCCTAGATCCATTCTGAAGCCCCATCTTTACAATGGTGGGAGGACCACGGAGTGATGTGAGTTCAGTATATTGTGGGTTGAGTGGATGTGAGTCTAACATGGAGTGTTTATCTAACTAGCTGTTAAATGTGTAGGTGTGATCACTTGAAGATGAATACTATTTGTGGGTCGAGTGTGGTGAGACATATAGTCACTAGTTCCTCGAAATCTGTGGGTTGAGTGAATTTAGAATCTATATGTTTTACAAGCTAACCACTATATATATTGTATCTTTACTGCAGATTAAGGAAGCTTTATCCGAGTGTGGTGAGATTCAATACTGTGGGTCGAGTGATATTGTATCTTTATTGCAGATTAAGGAAGCTTTATCCGAGTGTGGTGAGATTCAATACTGTGGGTCGAGTGAAGTGAGATCAAAATTGACAGAATCTACTTTCTGACTTGGTTACTTAATTCTCATGGTTTCTATCTTCTGTTACTCATTGGCAGGTCATTCTATTATGTTTAACCTGCATACGCAAATTGCAGTGGAAAATCTCGGGGCCTGTTATCTAAAAGCTGGCGTGGGAACCTCCAAATCTATGGGTCGTTCTACCTTGGTTAACTCGAATACTCAATATGTGCAATTTCGGGATTTGTCATTTAAAGCTGCAGTGGAAACTCTCGGGATTAGTCATCGAAAAGCTGTCGTGGAAACTCCAAATCAATGGGTATGGCTGCTATATGCGCCTTCCAAAATTGCTGAATGTTCAGAAGCTGTCTTTAATTTACTGTTTGTAGCTATTTAAATCATACTCAGTTTGGCCTACTCTAGTGGGATGTACTAGAGAATATAGTTGGGTTTACCATATTTTTAGATGTTGGGTACATACAGCAGATAATTTCTCTGCACATCCTAGGCCTTTGGCTGATACCCTTTCGGTCTGTTCTGCGGATTTACTGTCTTTGTTGGCTGTTTTGAATTTTGGCAGCCTCTTTTTGTTGATGTATGGCTGTTCCATCTTAGTTTGTTTTGTCCTTCTTGAGCTCCTTCGCTTGTGTTCATCTTCTATTTCTCTTCGAGATAGGTTTTGAACATTGCGTGTATGGTTCCTTTTGTCTTGTTCTTCGTGGTTTTTGCCCTCTTTGTATAGCTCTGTAGGTCCTGGGGCATGCCCCTTGTATCTTTGTATATTTTGCTGTTTTATTTATGTCTTATTCACCCAAAAAAAAAACCACCAAGAAACCAACCAGCCATGACAATAGCCGGACTGGATCAACCAGAAGCCATAAAAACCTCATACTAACAGAAAGATGAACAGCAACACCACTTCACTACTCTGCCAGAGCTTTATAGACTAGATAACATACTCACTCACACACAAAATGATTGGTAGAGGAGTTAAACAACTGGCCTGAAACAGCTTTATAGACTAGGATGTCACGGCTGTGAGGAGTGGGATGCTTACTGGATTCCATTGTTGATCTACGGTAGAGACTGGGGGCGAATGGGGTTGGTTATCATTTTTGATTTGTCTTGAGGGTTGTTGCTTTGTGAGTATGCTTGTTGTGGTTTTTAAATTTTTTGGTGTTTGTTTGTATCTTTGCCCATATATCCATCCCAAGTTTCCGTCTATTATCTCTGATGGTAGGGGTTACTTGGGGACAAAAGGATATATGGACAAAGTTGGGTTACTTTGTTTTTTCTATTGTTCTTGTGTTTCTCCCCCATTCTTAGGGGGTGCAGTGGTAGGATATGTTGGTATTGTATTCGTTTATTTATTTGTTGTTGGGTATGCCTGGGGTATGCCCCTTGTAAACTTGTAAATTTTTTGTCTTTATTTTATGACTTACTTACCCAAAAAAAAATATGAAGAAAATCAATAAAAGGGGGATTAGGTTGAGAGCCTCTCTCTCTAGATTCTAGAGGGAGAGACAGCTCCCTCTGTTGTTACCCTTGGAGATTTTTTGATGGTTCCATATCAGATTATTTGTTTGGTTGGGTGGTCGTGTGTGTTGATTGAATCTGGTGCTCCTCCGGCCAGTTGTTTTAGCTTCTATACTCATTTTTGAGTGATAGTAAGCGTGGGTTTTCAGGTCTGTTAGCTTCTGGTGTGTAGTGACTATGTGTGTCTCTGGCCGGGCTCTCTTGTTGTTAACCCGTCTCTCTAGATTTTTCTATAAAAGACGGATGAGGTTAATGGGTGTGTAAATCTGGGTTGCTGAGCTCCGGTTGTGGGTGGCACCTTTACTGTTTTGATCAGTATACTCAGGTTCAAGTTTTAAGGTCGTTCTTGGCTATTCTAGATGGTGGTCCAAGGGCGATGTTGATCGCTGGTTATGATGGGTCTCGTTGTGTTACAGTGAATGTGTGGTCATTGCTAACCGTGGGTGGTCATCGCTTGCTGCTGGTTTTTGGTGGTTTGGCTGTGGTTTCGCAGTCTTCATGCAAGCTTGTATCCATGGCTACCATGGTGGTCAAGAATACGTGAGTTTTATTGAGTGCATATTGTCGTCGGTTCTAGGTTCATCACTTGTGATATGCTAGGCATCTCCCTATGGTGTTGCTGGTGCCGTTGATTTTTGGGTCTATTGTGTGCAATGTCGGTGGTCTCATCGGCCATGGTAGTGGTTCAGCTGTATGCCGTGTCGGTTCTCGCCGTCCAGGTTGCTTCCGCAACTTTGGTTCCGTCGGTCTAAGCACGGACTGATGAAGCTTTATGAGCTATGCAGGGTTCCGATCTCTATACTAGCTCATTTGTTTTCCGCTGGTCGGAGTTGTTACTGGTTTATCTTTTGAGATGGAGTGTGACAGTTACGTGGTCTGTCGCGTGGACGAAGGCTTCTCCGCCCAAGCGTGCTGTGTAAGCTTTGGCTCAAGGATAGCACGTGGTTCATGGGGCAGACCAACATGATGGCTGGTCAGTTTTGATTGGGGGCTATGTCCATCATCTTTTGAATTGCAGAGGTATGGTGATAATCAAGGTATAGGTATGCCGTATATACACGTTACTGCTGTTTGAAAAGTGACGTTAGTAGGTATGGGTTGCACGTGGGTTTTTTTGCTGGTCTTGATCCCACGTGAGAGCATTAGCATTTGCTATGGTGCTGCCATGTTACAGTAGTCCTTCGTGGATATTGCATTTATTTTTCCAAAATGGCGGTGGTTGATTTTTTGGATGGTATTGGGCTGTGGGTCCCGCAGGGCATTCGTTTATATTTTATTTTGGGGTGGCAGTTTGTTAATATGTGTTAATTTGTTAAGTGGTGGGCCTTTTTATTGGATTAGTGGGCTGTCCCACGGGTTTGCTGTTAATTTGGGCTCATTGATTTTTTTGGGGGGCATATTGCATATATTTATATGACTGGTGAGTCCAAAAATTCCTGTTTAGCCACAAAGTAGCAAACCATTTACAGTTGATTTTCTCGTGTTGATTGTTCGTGTGATCCTCATGTGACTCGATATAAGGGTGGTTTTGAGCCATCTCCGCCAAGAGTGATTGGGGAGTCACTGCTTTGGGGAATAGTGGTTCAATAACCAGCTGAGTTAGAGACTGGGAGATGAGCTGGAGGATAGCTACCGGTTTTCTGGTCGCTTCTTGTCTTCATGTGACCCATCCTAATTGATCGTATTACCACGCCTGACATGGAGTGAAGGGCACACTGCCGTGGGGTTTGAGGTTTGTGATCTACCAAGGAAGGGACTAGGGGATGTGATGTTTGATCTCATGATTTTATTGGCTGTGTTTTGGTTTGTTGCTGAGGGGCTATTGCTTTCACTTATGGTTCTTGATCGTGCTAGCTTCATGACTTTGCTGGGATTTCTCATGGGGTAGACTTTTTCCTCCGTCACGGCTTTGGTTAAGTGGCTTGGATGTCACGGCTGTGAGGAGTGGGATGCATATTGGATTCCATGTTTTATCTACAGTAGAGACTGGGGGCATGTGGGGTTGCCTATCATCTTTGTTTCGGCTAGGGGGTTGTTGCTTTGTTAGTATGTTTGTTTTGTTTATTAGCTTGTGGTGTTTTTATGTACGTCTTTGCCCATATATCCATCTCAAGTTCCCATCTATTATCTCTGATGATAAGGGTTACTTGAGGACATAATGGATATATGGGCAGAGTTGGGTTATTGTGTTTTCAATTTCTTGTTTACACCCCCTTTCTTAGGGGGTGCGGTGGTAGTTTATGTTGGTTATATTTGTTTTTTTATTATTATTGTTGTTGGGCGTGCCTGGGGTATGCCCCTTGTAAACATGTAAATTTCATTGGCTTTATTTTATGACTTACTTACCCAAAAAAAAAAAATGAAGAAAATCAAAAGGAATTCAAGTTCATCATTTTCTAGCTTGAGATTTGAACACGTAGGTGATTTGGAAAACCTTATATGTGGTGCTTAAGTGAAACTAGTATCGTTAAGCTACAATTACACAAAAAATTTCATTTCGTAGAGGCCTTAGTTTGAGTTAAAATTGGCCACTTAATCCTATGAAACAATTAGTTACCTAAGCTAATTAGTTTCTAGAACAAAAGAGAGGAGGAAGGAGAAGGACGGAGAAAGTTACGGAGGAACTACTTTCTTGAGAGCTAGAAGAGAAAGTAAGAGCAAAGAAAGAGAAATTGGAACAAAATGGAAATTCAAATTCATCCTTTTGGACTTGAGAATTGAACACTTAGGTGATTTAGAAATCGTTAACTGAGTTGCTGAAGTAAAACTAATATCGTCAAGCTGAAATTACTAAGAAAATTCTCTTTCTTAGAGGGTAAGCGAGATTAGTTTGTGTTAAACTTGGCCACTTAAGCTTATGAAACAATTAGGTACCACAACTAATTTGTTTCTGGAACCAAGGGAGAAAGAAGGAGAAGGAAGGAGACAGAGAAACTTTCTTCTTGAGAGCTCGAAGAGAAAATTAGAGCAAAGAAAGAGAAATAGGAAGAAAATCAAAGGGAATTCAAATTCAACCTTTTGGACTTGAGAATTGAACACTTAGGCGATTTCAAAAGCCTTAAATGAAGTTCTTATATTAAACTAATATCGCTGAGCTACAATTACTCAGAAAATTCTCTTTCTTAGAGGCCAAGCAAGGATAGTTTGAGTTAAGCTTTGCTACTTAGGGTTATGAAACAATTACTCACCTAAGCTAATTAGTTTCTAGAACAAAAGAGAGAAGGAAGCAGAAGGACGGAGAGAGTTACAGAGAAACTTTCCTTCTCGAGAGCTAGAAGAGAAGTTAGAGAAAAGAAAGAGAAATCGGAGGAAATTCAAAGAGAATTCAAATTCAATTTTTGTGAAATTGAGAATTGAATACCTTAGTGATTTAGAAAATCTTAAATGAGGTGTTTACGTTAAACTAATATCGTTAAGCTACAATTACTCAGAAAGTTCGCTATCTTAGTGGCAAAGCAAGATTAGATTGAGTTAAACTTGGTCACTTAAGCTTATGAAACAATTTGTTACCGGAGAAACTTCCTTCTTCGGAGCTGGAAAAAAAAAAAAAAAGGGTTAGTGCAAAGAAAGGGAAATATGAAGAAAATCGAAAGGAATTCAAATTCATCCTTTCTGACTTGAGAATTGAACACTCAGTTGATTTAGAAAACCATAAACGAGGTACTTAACTTAAACGAGTATCGTTAAGTGACAATTGCTTAGAAAATTATGTATCTTAGAAACTAAGCAAGATTAGTTTCAGTTAAACTCGGTCACTTAAGCTTATGAAACAATTATTTACCAAGCCTAATTAGTTCTTAGAACAAAAGAGAGAAGGAAGGAGAGGGACGGAGGAAGTTACAGGGAAACTTTCTTCTTGAGAGCAAGAAGAGAAAGTCATAGAAAAGAAAGAGAAATTGAAGAAAATCAACCGGAATTCAAATTCATCCTTTCGGACTTGACAATTGAACACTTAGGTGATTTAGAAAACCATAAACGAGGTGTTTAAGTTATAAATTAATATCGTTGAACTACAATTACTCAGACAATTCTCTTAGTTAGAGGCTAAGGAAAATTAGTTTGATTTAAACTTGGGCACTTAAGCCGATGAAACAGTTTGTTACCTAAGCTAATTAGTTTCTAGAACAAAAGGGAGAAGGAAGAAGATGGACAGAGAAAGATACAGATGAACTATCTTCTTGAGAGCTAGAAGAGAAAGTTATAGAAAAGAATGAGAAATAGAAAGGAAAAAAAAGAAAACAAAAAAAGAATCAAAGGGAATTCAAATTCATAATTTTAGACGTGAGAATTGAACACTAAGGTGATTTAGAAAATATTTAATGGGTTGCTTAAGTTAAACTAACATGATTACGCTATAGTTACACAGAAAATTCCCTTTCTTACACGCTAGGCAAGATTAGTTTGAGTTATACTCGGCCAATTATTAAGCTTACGAGACAATTAGTTACCTAAGCTAATTAGTTTCTAGAAAAAAAGAAAGAAGGACAGAGAAAGTTACAGCGAAACTTTGTTCTTGAGAGCTAGAAGGGAGAGTTAGAGAAAGGAGAGAGAAATAGGAAAAAAAAAAACAAAGGAAATTCAACTTCATCATTTTTGACTTGAGAATTGAACACTTAGGTGATTTAGAAAACCTTAAATATCGTTAAGCTAAAATTACAAATAAAATTCTCTTTCTTAGAGGCTAAGCAAGGTTAGTCTGAGTTAAACTTGGCCACTTAAGCTTATGAAACAATTAGTTAGCCAAGCTGATTAGTTTCTAGAACAAAAGAGAGAAGGACAGAGAAAGTTGCAGAGAAACTTTCTTCTTGAGAGGAGAAGGCTTTAGCTTCTTCATTTTTGAGAGCCCTGAATGTTGCAGTGCAGTCCTTGAAGGAGGGCCATGGTACATTGGTGGTTCAAACCTTTTTCTGAAAAAATGGACTCGGATGATGAAGCGTTCGAAGGAAAAAACTACTACAGTTCCAGTATGGGCTAAGTTTTTCAACGTGCCTTTTGAGTATTGGGATAGTGATGGGCTGAGCCGGATTGCAAGTGCTGTAGGTACTCCTCTGTTTATGGACCAACTCACTGAACAAGGTAGTAGAGTGTCCTTTGCCAGGGTCTGAGTGGAGGTTGAAGCTACATCCAACCTTCCATCGATGTTCAGAGTGAATTGTGAAGATGCAGAAGCTGTAGTGAAGGTCGAATATCAGGGTTTACCCCCTAAGTGTGACCACTGTGTAGTGTTTGGGCATGACATTACCAAATGCGTTAAGACCCAAGTGGCTGCCCTGATAAACCTCTAGAAACAAATAGAAGACAACCCAGATCCTGGATGGGAAACTGTCAAGGCCAAGGGTAAGAGAAAGGTGGATGTCCCCAAAACTCCTACAACGACAGATAATCATGCAACTTCAAAGGAGGATGGCCTACAGGAACCTGATGTAGGGCAGAGTCAACAGTAAGAGCACATTCAGGAGGAGCCTGTGGAAACCAATCCAGTCCTATCAGCAGTGTCTACCCCAACTGAGGGGGAGATTGAGGTTCACAAAATGGATGGCTTGGAGGCTTTGCAGAAGGGTCTGCTAGAAATTACCAGTTTGGTTCTTCCCAATGATGAAGAATTGCTGGCTAAAGTGGAGAAACTAGTGGAATCCACCCCTAGTAGTTTAGCCACCAAGCAGGCTCAAATTGGCACTAAGGCAAAAGGAAGCTCCTCTGGCAAAGGCAACAAAAGCCAGGGGAAGAAACGCAGGTAAATCCCAGTTTATCTGGTTGTGGGTTTCCTCAAACTAATCACGCTTGGCCTCCGAGAAAGAGAGTTTACTGAGAAATTGTAGCTTAACGTTACTAGTTTAACTTAGGCACCTTGTTTGAGGTTCTGTAAATCACCTAATTGTAACTCAACGATATTACTTTAACTTAAGCAGCCCATGTAATGTTTTCTACATCACCTAACTGTTCAATTCTCAACTCCAAAATGATGAATTTGAATTCCCCTCAATTTTCATCCTATTTCCGTTTTCTTTGCTCTAACTTTCCCTCCTAGCTCTCAGGACGAAGGATTCTCTCTAACTCCCCCCATCCTTCTCCATCATTCTCTGTTTTGTTCTAGGAACTAATTAGTTTAGGCAACTAATTGTTTCATTTTCTTAAGTAACCAAGTTTAACCCAAACTAATCTTGATTGGCAACAGGAAGAAACAATGGGTTAGAGTGAGAAGCTCTCGCATCTCTCTAGAAACCTGCGTTTCTAGGGTTTCAATTCCTCATTGATAAAGATGACAGGAGTTAATGCGTTGCCTAATTCTTAGAGACTCTTGGATTTACGGGTTCAGGATATGGATAGGAACGTTCCTACGGTGGGAATAGAGAGTGATACACTAGGGTTTGTAAGCAACAGATTTGGGATCTTGAGTGCAGCGTCCATGGATCTGTCTACAGTTAACATCGATGAGGGTGTTTTGAATCTTGGGCATTCTAACGACACTGATGTTGTGGAGAAATCCTTGGATCAGGAAGAACGAAGGGTTGCACAACCCTCAGATCTTCAGCGAGTGGCAGATCGTTTGGCGAGAATGAGAGACCCATCCTCATCGATAATGACCTCGCCATCTACCGATGGTTCATTATCTTCAGCGCGATGGTCAGAGCGAACGGATTTTGAAACCCCTATGTTTCAAAACCTACCTAATAGTATCCTGGTTGCTCGAAACAGGTTCGATGGTAAGAATCATGGTGATAATCAGTTAGATCGACCTATAGAAACAGGGAAGGAAGAGAATACTGTCTTTGTCGAGGTGGTTCAAGTTACTGAAGAGATCCCTTTGCAGACGCCTAACCTCGGTGATGTTGGTCATGAGGATGTGGCTTCCCGAAGGGGTGGGCTTTCAAATTTCAGAGGAGGTAGAGGAGGTAGAGGGTTAGGGGAAGGCAGAGGTCAAGGCCATACGAAATCCTGGGCTGATGTGGCTGCATCCTCATCGCAATCTAGCATTCCTTTGAGGTATGTTCCCCCTACTAGTAGTGATGGCTATGTTAGCGTGAGTCTCCCCCCTAGGCCCAACCCCTTAGAGAAATGGGATTCATGTCTGGTTGGGTACTTCCTGGATAAAGGGGTGTCTTATAACTACTTGAAAAACAGTGCTTTTGCTTTATGGAAAAATAAGGGTTTGAAGGAAGTTCTAGCAAATGGAGAAGGCTTTAGCTTCTTCATTTTTGAGAGCCTTGAGTGTTGCAGTGCAGTCCTTGAAGGAGGGCCATGGTACATTGGTGGTTCAAACCTTTTTCTGAAAAAATGGACTCGGATGATGAAGCTTTCGAAGGAAAAAACTACTACAGTTCCAGTATGGGCTAAGTTTTTCAACGTGCCTTTTGAGTATTGGGATAGTGATGGGCTGAGCCGGATTGCAAGTGCTGTAGGTACTCCTCTGTTTACGGACCAACTCACTGAACAGGGTAGTAGAGTGTCCTTTGCCAGGGTCTGTGTGGAGGTTGAAGCTACATCCAACCTTCCATCGATGTTTAGAGTGAATTGTGAAGATGCAGAAGCTGTAGTGAAGGTCGAATATCAGGGTTTACCCCCTAAGTGTGACCACTGTGTAGTGTTTGGGCGTGACACTACCAAATGCGTTAAGACCCAAGTGGCTGCCCTGTTAAACCTCCAGAAACAAACAGAAGACAACCCAGATCCTGGATGGGAAATTGTCAAGGCCAATGGTAAGAGGAAGGTGGATGTCCCTGAAACTCCTACAACGACAGATAATCATGCAACTTCAAAGGAGGTTGGCCTACAGGAACCTGATGCAGGGCAGAGTCAACAGCAAGAGCACATTCAGGAGGAGCCTATGGAAACCAGTCCAGTCCTATCAGCAGTGTCTACCCCAACTGAGGGGGAGATTGAGGTTCACAAAATGGATGGCTTGGAGGCTTTGTAGAAGGGTCTGCTGGAAATTACCAGTTTGGTTCTTCCCCATGATGAAGAATTACTGGCTAAAGTGGAGAAACTAGAGGAAACCATCCCTGGTAGTTCGGCCACTAAGCAAGCTCAAATTGGCGCTAAGGCAAAAGGAAGCTCCTCTGGCAAATGCAACAAAAGCCAGAGGAAGAAACGCAAGTAAATCCCAGTTTACCTGGTTGTGGGTTTCAGATTTTGTTATTTCTAATGTCTTTAAAAATTGCATCTTGGAATGTAAGAGGATTTAATAATCCTTATCGACATAAAGAAGTTCGGAAATTTTTGTTAAATGAAGACATTAAAATTTTGGGCATTTTGGAAACGAAAATAAAAGCTTTAAATGAACAACAGATTTTTTCTAGTGTAAACAATTGGCCCTTTTTGACAAACTCACAACCTACTAAATCTGGACGGATCTGTGTCTGCTGGGACCCAGCTTTTTGTAAGGTTACTTTGCTATCAGCATCTGATCAATATATTTTTTGTGGAGTTCATGACTTTTCTTCTGATAATTTGTTCAAAATCGATTTTGTTTATACTGATAATAAACCTGACATTCGAAAAGAATTTTTTTGAGTATATGGCTACTTTTTCCCATTTGCAGTCCAAAACTCCAATTATGTTTCTTGGGGACTTTAATGCTATAAGATACCCGTATGAGAAATCTAGGGGCTCTGTTAGCTGGTCTAAGGACAAAGAGGAGTTTAATTCATACATTCTGAAATCTGAGTTGGCTGATCTCTCCTACGGGGGTTGCCAATTTACCTGGGCCAATAAGAGAACTAGTGGGGATTACATCGCAACCAAAATTGATAGAGTGCTGGTCAATGAGGCTTGGCTTGATACCTTTCCTGCCTCTTTTGCCACTTTTTTACCCTCTGGTATATTTGACCACTCTCCTGCTGTGGTTAATGTTTCTGACAAGATATCTTCTTTTAAGAAACCGTTTAAATATTTTGACTTTTGGGCTGACCATAAGGACTTTAGCTCTGTGGTCTCTAGATTTTGGAATCAGTATATTTATGGTGTTCCTATGTACAAGTTGTGCCAAAAATTGAAATATTTGAAGCCTGAATTAAAGGCTCTGAACAAGAAAGACTTTAGTGACATAACTACTAGAGTCCAAACCTCAAAATCTAAGCTCTTCTCTGCTCAATGTAAGTTGGGCAAGGATCCGAGTAATAGTGAGTTGCAAAAACTTGAGCGCAATATCTATAAGCAGCATGTTGACCTCCTGGCTGTTGAATAGAGTTTGGCTCACCAGAAATCTCGTGTCCAGTGGCTTAGTCAGGGGGATAGAAATAGCAGCTTCTTCTTCAAAACTATTAAGGGTAATATCAATAGGGGTAAAATTTTGAATCTTGAGATGTTGGATGGCCAAAAATCTTCTAAACCCGAGGACATCCAGAATACTTTCACCAACTTTTTCTCAAGTTTATTTGGTGCCCCGTTTGATGACCAGTATAATGGTTTTGCTAGAACTCAGTCCCTGGTTAAGACCCGTATTTCTCCTGATCAATCTCTTGTGCTTGCTAGCCCTGTGACTGACCAAGAGATCAAGGATACGTTTTGGTCTCTTAAGGCCAATAAGGCTCTCGGCCCTGACGGCTTCTCTGCGGGTTTTTTTTAAGACATCCTGGGATATTATTGGGAGAGAAGTTATTCAAGCCATTAGAACTTTCTTTGAGTCTGGTAAGCTTCTGTCTGAAGTTAATAGCACCATTATTTCGCTCATTCCCAAAGTCCCCAACCCTGCAAAAGTGGGTGCCTTCAGGCCTATTTCTTGTTGCAACACCATCTATAAGTGCATTGCCAAGATCATAGCTAACAGGATTAAATCTGTTCTCCCTGATCTTATTGACCCTGTCCAGTCAGCTTTTGTTCAGGGTAGGAGAATTTTTGACAATATCTTCCTATCTCAAGAACTTATGAGGGGGTATCATAGGCATTCCCCTACTCCGAAGTGTGCTATGAAGGTGGATATCATGAAAGCTTACGATGGTGCGAGATGGGATTTTATTCTTAATATTCTCAAGGCTATGGCCTTTCCTCCTGTCATGGTTTCTTGGATCAAGGCCTGCATCACTAGCCCTTCTTTTTCAATTTGTATCAATGGTAGCCTTCATGGCTATTTTAAAGGGGCTAGAGGTTTAAGACAAGGTGACCCTATGTCCCCTTACTTATTCGTTTTGGCCATGGAAATCCTGACCAAAATCTTAGCGGAAAAAGCAAAGCATCCTCTCTTTAAGTTCCATTGGAAGTGCGAGAAGACAAAAATCATCAATCTTTGCTTCGCTGATGATCTCATGATCTTTAGCAGAGGTGATGCCTCTACTGTTAAGCTCATTATGGAAGGCCTTAAGGAGTTTTCATCCCTGTCTAGCCTAATTCCTAATCCCAGCAAAAGCAACATCTATTTTTCTGGTTGTGATATGGGGTTGAGAGCTTCTATTCTTGAAATTGCCAAGTTTAATGAAGGTACTCTGCCTATTAGGTATCTTGGTGTAGA